TTCCTCGCATCACCTTTCACCATCTCTTGGAGTCACGAGGCGGCCCAACGAAGTACTGATGGGGTGGTCATAATAATCTGGCCACTCAGTGTATATGTGTATGTATATACAGTATATATATATATATATATATATATACACACACACACAACAAATACAAATAAATACATAATATATTGAAATCCCATAACTTTTATCACACTACTGATTTCCATATCCATCTCCAGGTTTGTGAACTGTGCATTGAGGATGGACTTCCTCAATGCACGGACACAATTTCACTCGAACCTGCCATCCGAACAATGTCACTTCATGATTGCTTGCTGGATGCAATGCATGATGGGAGATGCAATCTTCAGAAAACGAGATTGCATCACATCAAGCAGCAGGGAAAGAGACGCAAAGCACACTGGGAATCCAGGAAGTTGTTGGAAGTGATGGGCAGACGGAAAGCAGCACTCACTACATAAAAGGGATTTTTTAAAGTCAGCTTTGATTCTATTACCAGACACAACTCCGGTATGTATTCCTATTACAATGCTGATGTTATAACAGGAGAGGAGATGCCAGGGGTAGGCAAACTCTGGCCCTCCAGCTGTGGTGCAACTACATATCTCATTAGGCATTAAAAGACTTTACAAATCCCATCATGCATCTGCCTCTGATAGGCATTCCTGTGCTGTTATTTTCCCCACAGCTGGAGGGTCAGAGTTTACCTAGCCCTGGTATATGCTGTAAGTTTAGAGCTTCTTTAATTGAATGAATGCATTTATATTTTCTTTTTTTAGAGGCATTTAAGTATAGATTTAAAGATGAACTCCAAGTAGATGGCTAGATACACAGATAAAATGCATATCAGGGAGTTGTTTTACCTGCCAACGGGTTTTTGACCATCCATTCCTGAGATTTACACAGCAGTGCGAGAAAGCAGAGCGAGTATGGTAACCTGACTTTTCTCTACTCCAGGTAAACAATACATATAGGTCACCTTGGTGAATGGTCAGTGAAGGGGCAGCAGCAGTTCACACCTCTGCTCAATCTGTTCTCTCTTCCAGTCTGGATATTCCTTGCCCCCACATGCGCATGCTTCACCCCTGATTGGCTCCTAGTGCTGCTCCTCTTTTTCCCATCTTGAGTACTGCTGTACAGGGGAGTAGAAGAGGCTGATACAAGGTCAGATTCAGGTACATTAAGCTGTGCGTTTCATTACTGTTAACTTCATCTGTGTTATTTTACGTCTGCCCGGAGTTCAGCTTTAAGACACTACAATAAACAGAGCACAAGATATGAAACTTGTCTAATCGGCCAGGATTTCGGAATCCACAAAGGTGAAATTCACAGTTTTATCGACGTCTCTGCCTCCTCTCGTCTTCCTTTATTGGCACTGAGCAATGAATCCCAGGCTGGCTGTGTAACTGTTTACAATGGCAATATAGACACCTTAAACGCAGCGCTATTAAACACATATTAAATGATGGAGCGACTGTTGGAACGGAGCACAAGGTGTTACTTCGTGGCCAATTTTTTTTTTCTCTCTCTCTTTGTTTATTGCAGTTCTCGAACCCGCGGCTGGCGGAGGCCGGAGTGGCAGCTAGAATGTAGCCTGGGTAGCTGTAACGAGATTCTGCTCTCCTAATGCTTCCATAATGTTGTTTGCTGGATAGAATTTGAGCTGTGAGAGATGACACCGGACTGGGCAGCCCGAGAGCTGAAATGAACATTTCAGCATTACAGTGCTGATCGGTATCTTCCCTGAAGAGTGCGGAATAGGCCTGCGAGCCTACATAGGCTGGATGGTTGTTCTCTTATTCTAATGAATAATCCAAGGGGGTTGAAGGGCTAAATCTGCATGCTGTTTTCGGTCATCAAATCAAACAAGTTCAGGCCTTCACCAAAGTACAGGCAGTCCCCGAGTTACATACATCCGACTTACATATGACTCCTACTTACAGACGGAGGCTATTACTATACAGCAGGGGTATTTGTAATGCTACCGCGCTCGTGCCAACGAGGAATGCCCGCCTTTTTGGGTCTGGTTGGTAGTACTGTACGTACATTACAGGATGTTGGCTCTTGTTAGACGTGCAGACGAGGGGTGCCCGCCTCTTCTTCCGGGTCACTGTGAGGTTTTTACTGCGGTCTCTATCCTCATTAGAAAGATTTATTCTCACTTCCTGCTCTTGAGACAACAGGAAGTGAAAGGAAATCTACAACTAGGAAGGGAAATTTACTCCTGTAAGAGTTATCATGGGGAAAAAAGGTGTCTCCACTGAAGCTTTGTCACCAATCCTTGCTTCCACGACAACCCAAAATTTTCAAAATCCAATTGTCACAGGACAGAAAGTGAGGTGAAATCTTCTGAACAGGGGCACACACAGCAAAACAAACTTTAAAGAGGGTTAATCCCTTCCCTATGCTATCCAAAACAAACCAAAAAAAAATGTTTGGCTGGAGTTGCACTTAAACAATTTACCTGTTCCAACTTACATACAAATTCAACTTAAGAACAAACCTACAGACCCTATCTTGTTTTCGTAACTGCCTGTATGTTGGGAATAATAATGGTATATAGGCAAAGCTTTGTGGAAGCTATGACTTGAATGACTTGTCCACTATAAAACCTAACTTTGTGGATACCTGACCATCACACTGTATGTGGACACCCCTCTAAATTTTCAAGTTCACATGTTTCCAATGGAGGTTACCGTTAATGCTGCAGCATACAAAGATGCATTAGACAAGCTTGTGGTAACAGTTTGTGGAAGGCCCCTTTTTGTTCCAGCATGACTGTGCCCCTGTGTACAAAGCCAGCTCCATGAAGACACGGTTTTGTGCGGAGGAACTTGTTTCCTGCAGAGAGCCCTGACCTGAACCCTACTGAACACTTTTGGGATGAATTGGATGACCAATTGTGAGCCAGGTCTTCTCATCCAACATCAGTACCTGACCTCACAAATGCTGTTTTTAGCTGAATAGACACAAATTCCCCAATGACACCATCCATAATATTGTGGAAAGCCTTCATAGAAGAGTCGAGGCTGTTATAGCTCCAAAAGGGAGACAACTCAATATTAATGGCCATCATTTTGGAATGGGATTTCCAACAAACTCATATAGATATGATGGTCAGGTGTCCACACACTTTTGTTCATATGTCAGGGGCGGACAAATTCATATGGAATTCAAGAGCCAGTCTGTCTAATCCAGGAGCCTAAAATATTTTTTTTTAATGCACCCTAGAGGGAAAACCAGGCATGAATGTTGGGGAATGTCCCTTAATGATTTATAAATAAGTAGCTATATAACCTCCAAACCTTTCAGGACACAAAATGTATCAGTTCAGAATGTGAAGAAATGTCTATGGGTTTTCACTTTTGTAGCATCTCTGCCACCTGAAATAGTTATAGTGTATCTAATATTAACAAAAATAGAAAGATATATAAAGACACATTATTTATTAAGTCAAATGTAACTATTTGCACACATATGCATGTTCTCAACCAACTGTTAAAACACAACACTCCATACAAACACTAAAAACTACCTCTGGATACCCTATAATTCAACAAAGCATTGCAGCACAGTGGCTCAGTGGTCAGCACTTCTACCTTGCAGCACTGGGGGTCCCTGGGTTCGTATCCCGGTCAGGACACAGGAGTTTGCATGTTCTTCCTGTGTTTGAGTGGGTTTCCTCCGGTTTCCTCCCACACTCCAAAGCCATAAAGTGATGTGTAAATAGTTGGCACTAAATATAATAAAAATAAATATATGTTCCCTGGAGATATTATTTTTATTATTATAATTATTATTATACAGGAGTGCCAACAGTTTGCGCTGTGCTTTACAATATAAGGAAGACATTACAATCACAATACAATTCAAGGTACAATACAAGGTAAGGAGGGCCCTGCCTGTGAGGGCTTAAAATCTAAAAGGGAGGGGCCAGTGATACATGAGGAGTTAGCTGTGTGGGGATGAATTGTTTGAGAACGTGGTGGTTCAGTGGTTAGGTTGAGCTGGGATAGGCTTCCCTGAAGAGATGAGTCCTAAGGGATCGCCTAAAGGCAGTCAGAGTGGGAGATACTCGGACAGGTTGGGTTAAAGAGTTCCATATGATGAGAGAGACTCTAGTGAAGTTCTGGAGGCGAGCATGGGAGGAGTTGATGAGGGAGCTGGAAAGCAGAAGGTCTTTTGAAGAGCGGAGTGGACGGTTAGGGTGATACTTTGAGACAAGGTTGCAGGTATAGCCGGGGGTAGAGTTGTGAATGGCTTTGTAAGTGGTTGTTAATATTTTGAATTTGGGCTATTGGAAGCTAGCGCAGGGATTGGCAGAGGGGGGTGGGGGATAGAAGCCAGTGTAGGGATTGGCAGAGGGGGTTTGCAGACACTGAGCGGTTGGTAAGGTGAATTAGTCTGGCAGCTGCATTCATGATAGACTAAAAGGTGCACAGAAGAGACCTTCACCCATTGTTTGTTTTTTCCCATGCTTTGTACAAGGCCCAATGAGACGATGGTGCTGCATACATAAAAATAATAATTATAACGTATTGGTTATTACATGTCCCTCTCTGCCTTGACAACAGGTACTTTTTATGCTGATATACCATGTAGTCTGTAATATCCTATCAGATTCAATGTATCTCTTCACTTTGCTTTGCTCTGGCACGTTTCACAACCCCAGTTTCCATTCTTATGAAAACATCCAGATCTTTCTGGAATTAGGCCGAAAATATAATCTACATTTTTTTTTTCCTTTTGTTTCAAAATTTTCTTTAGCGTGTTCATTGTGTCCTTTTGTATCTTCCCCCCTCCTCCCACCTTTTTTCATTATAAAATATATTCTAAAAGGAATTTTTTTTTTTTTTTTTTTTTCCACAAAAAAATAACCCTTTACTGATAGTGCCTTGCTTTGGATGGTGAAACATTATGAAAGTTTAATTTTTAATTAAATCTGAAATACCAATTATAATGGAGAGATATTTTAACCTGCTTCTTTTCAGACTGCCTGGAGTTACGTTGGAATACTGAAAATCGCTGCACCTTAACAAAACAGAGCGATAAAACTGCTCGTCAGCCTGGTAAGTACCCGCGACCTTACCTTTGTTCCTCTCAACATCGTTATTAGTGTGCATGAAACACAGAATTTAGTAATTGGAAGTAGGTGAAGGAAAGTGACCTTGTGTTGTTACATGAGCAAACAGACATTCTTGTGTTTTTTCTAAAATATTTGACTCTTCCAGAAGAGAAATTGAGTCTTTGTTTGCTGTTTGTGCTACTTTGTGTTTGTTTGTACAAAAAATATAAAGCGGCATCTTCCATATATTCTCCCGGTTCCATTGTCTCGGGGCAGCCTTTCGTTGTACCCAATAACATGACCTTTGTTACAAGTGTCCATACAGAGGCAGGATGAGAACGCATTGTTAGCAAGCTCCCAGTATCCTTTGCGTTTTCTGTCACTTCCTGTGCTGTATGATGTACACCAAATAAAGGGACAATATTTTGATGTTTTCAATTGTTCTGACATTTCTAGAAAGGTAATGATGATAGCAAGATAGGATTTATTGTGAGGGTAGCATTGGCAGGGATCAGCGGACGAAAGGACATATCTGTTAGTAAGTGCACTCACTGCAACTATTGGGAAGACCTATGTGCTTTGCTTTATGCTTTATTGTGGACAGAAATGTGGGAGCTGGCTTGTTTATGGACGTTTGGGCTTTATGGCTTTTATCTTTATCATAGCTAGATAAATTGTAAGAGAGAGACATGGAGAGATGGGGGGGGGGGGTTGGAGATGGAGAGAGAAGGGGATAGAGAGATGAGGACTGAGAAAAGGGAACACAGAGATAGGGGCATAGAGATGGAGACTTATGATGTGGGCAGAGAGATGGGAACAGAGAGATAGCAACATAGAGATAGAGACAGAGAGTTGGAGGCAGAGAGACAGGAATGGAGAGATGGAGGCAGAGAGACAGGAATGGAGAGATGGAGGCAGAGAGACAGGAATGTAGAGATGGAGGCAGGGAGGTGGGAATGGAGAGATGGAGGCAGGGAGGTGGGAATGGAGAGATGGAGGTAGAGAGATGGGAATGGAGAGATGGAGGTAGAGAGATGGGAATGGAGAGATGGAGGTAGAGAGATGGGAATGGAGAGATGGAGGTAGAGAGATGGGAATGGAGAGATGGAGGCAGCTAGATGGGAATATAGAGATGGAGGCAGAGAGATGGGAACAGAGAGATGGCAACAAAGAGATGGCAACAAAGAGATAGAGGCAGAGAGATGGGGGTGGAGAGATGGAGGCCAGGAGATGGGAATGGAGAGATGGAGGCAGAGAGATGGAGGCAGAGAGATGGGAACAAAATGATAGAGACAGAGAGATGGGAATAGAGAGATGGGAACAAAGAGAAGGAAATATAGAGATGGAGTATAGATGGGAGCACAGAGAGATTGAGGCAGAGAGATGGAGACAATGAGATAGGGACAGAGCGAAGGTAACATAGAGATGAAGACAGAGAGATGGGGGGATAGAGCGTTTTGGATAGAAAGAGGGAGATACATAGACAAATATGAAATGCAGTGGTTTTTAGGGATCTCAAGCATTGCATCCCAGGGAAAGTGTAGACAACAAAAATACTCAGTAAATTAGGTGTTAAGCAGCCAAATAGTTTCATGACAAATTTGCAAGCAGGACCTATAATTATTATTTATTTCCTGTATTTGTACAGCTTGGGCATTCTACATGCCATTAAAAAAAAACACTAACTACAGGCCCCACCCCTGAGGAGCTTTTGATGTCATGGCAGCAGACAATCTGGGACAAGATTAGGACTGACTAGGAAAGGTTTTGGCCAGAAACCTCTTAACATAGAGGCTTGCTTTGTATTTTGTGGGAAACCAGAGAAGGCAGGGGCTTCCGGACAAATCTAGGAGAAGGCCAACTTCATGTTGATGGAGGTTGAACCCAGAAGCCCAATGTCGCAAGAGTTAACCAAATCACGGTAGCGTTTGCTTTTTGTTGTCCCTTTTGTTCTTCACAAGGATAGAGCAGAACGTACCTCGATAATAGTGTCGGATTGTTTCACTGCAGTAGCTTTACTCCCTGACTCCTCTGTTCTGGGGTTTTATTGTTTGTTGGTCATATCTGCTGGAGGTCTTTCTGTGTATAGCATGACATCACTGCATCATTAATGGCCTGACCTTCACAATTCTCAAAAAGCACTTAAGCACTTACTACTGTAAAAATAAAAACAGGTGAGTAACATTTTATTGTTTTTTAACGTTTTGGTGTAAAAAGTGCGGCCAGGCAGTACTCCATGGGAGATGTATGTATATGTATTTAACCCTGTTCAAACGGAGAAAGGGCTTCTGGGTAAATTACTCTTCAAATGACTCTCCATAGTGGGGTGCCGTGCAGGTACCTACTCTGCCCAATCCCCAGTGTTGTGTCAAGATACAACACCGGCAATAGCAAGAAAGGTGCGTTCTGCACAAAACGCACCCTCCTGCTCCAAGACCAGCGGCGCCTACAGGAACCACCGGCTTCCAAAAACACAGGGGGAAGGAACCTGGTGTTGCGTAAGCCCACCCTTTAAAACACCTGTATGATTCGGGCAGGCAATTAGGACAGCCTTACGCGAAGTCTGGGTCTTTCTCTGCACACTTGAAAGCTGGCCGGTCCTGCAGCAGGTAAGGGCGGCGGCTCAGGCTAAACAGATTTCCATTTGTGCCTACAGGTGCCCGAAATGGAAATTCGGCCACGGCACCATCACTGCATATCATTATACTGTCTCCCCAAGTGTGCCCTTTCCTTGGACCTTAAATTGCATTGACTTAATATTGAACAGGTCACATAGCTATGAAAAGGAATTGTATTAATCTTAGTAAAATCAGCAGTGCCCCGCATATCCCAGTAAGAATATAGGGAATAGAATTAAACTTCATCTAAAAGTCACAGTCGCACCTGGAGGCTCCAACTTTCCTTTAATTGAACGGCAGACAAGTGGATTAAAATTCCGCGTCTTCCTGTAGCTGTTTAAAAGGAGGACAGACAAGTTCTGTACATCGTTTTATCATTAACTACATTTCGAAGGCTTTTCACAAATGATGTTTGTATTTTCTGAGATTTTGGTAAATGAGGATCTAATTATGCCAGCTCTTTCATATTTTCCTCACATCTTCCACGAGTGTCCGTCTCTAGGGCAGCAATAACATTAAATTACCAGCTACATCACTCAATGATCAAAAACGGCAGGATTCACAGATTCTGTACATTGCAACAACAAAGAGGTTCACCAAGAGGTGAAACCCTATGGGGTCATGTACTAATGTGATACAAACCTTGAAAAAAAAAAGGCAGATGAAAAGAGAAATGAAAACCGGCCGGTTTTGTATCGCCCGAGGTTCTCCATATACCTGGTAGGGGGTGGAGGGAAAGGACACCGAACACGACAGCTCCAAAGACTTTAATGGTCAATTATTGGAACACAGAATTGCCGGTCCTGAAGTAAAAAAAAAAAAAAAGAAAGTTTATGTAGATTGTTGTTTGTTCCCGATTATGAGCAATAGATTTATCTATTTTAGAGCTTTTATTCAAATTTCATAATGCCGAAGGTTGTCCATGTACCTGGTAGAGGGTGGTGGAAGAAAGGGACGCTGAACACAGCAGCTTTAAAAACTTTAAAGGTCAATGATTTAAGCACAAAATTGCCAGCACGGAAATAACAAATACAAAGGTTTCTGTAGATCGTTGTGTGTTCCAAACTATGAGCAACAGATTTATCTCTTTGAGAGTTTTTATTCAAGAACTTTACCATAAGTGAGATTTGATGGAAGAGTTGAGTAAGTGTAGGGGGAGAAAGCAATGACAGTAACCCAATGAATGAAACATAATCTGTGGTCAGTGCACTAAATGGTCATAAAGTTGTGGGCACCTGACCATCACACTTGCCTATATGACCAAAGGTAGGGAGACCCCCCTACCATTGATGATTGTGTGCAGATGTCTCCAGTGAAGGGCACAATTAATGTGACATCATACAAATACATTTTGGCATTTCTCAACCTTATTTCAGTCAAGGTACTTTTTAAAGTATGCAAAATCTAGAGGCACCCCAGTCTAACTTATAATGGATTTTAAAGGGGGTCCCACCCAAAAAAACCACCAAAAGAGTGGGGTTCCCTCTTCACATTGAAGCCTTCTTTCAAATCAGGAGCCCCCTTCATATCAGAGCCCCATCCTTTCACATCACAAGCCCCCACCCCCCTTTTACATCATGATCCCTCTTCACATAATCAGCTCCCCTTTCACATCAGCATCCCCTGTTTACATCAGAACCTCCCCTTTAAAATCAGAGTTCCCACTTCACTTCCAGGAGCCCTCTTCACTTCAGATGCCCCCTTCACATCAGAGTGTTACCATTACAAAATTTCAAGGCACCCCTGAGAAAGCCAGAAGGCACCCCAGGGTGCCACAACACCCTAGTTGAGAAAGGCTGTTTTAAACAATTGTACTCTTCTAGCCAGCTCCATAAAGACATGGTGTTCTCCAGAGAACCCTGACCTCAACCCAACTGAACACCTTTGGGATGGATTGGAATATCCATTGTGAGCTAGCTCTTCTCATCCAATATCAGTACACCTGACCTCACAAATGCTCTTTTGGCTGAATTAACATAATTTGCTTCCCAGAAGAGTGGATGGGGAGGTATGACTCCATATTAATGTCCACAGTTTTGGAATGTGAAGTCCAACAAGCTGATTAAGGTGTGATAGTCACGTGCCTTCAAACTTTTGATCATGTAGAGTATTAATAAGTATCATCTTAATAATCGGCTAACTAATCGATTTTGAAAATAATCGTTAGCTGCAGCTCTACACTGGACTTCCATGCAGTGGCGTACAAGCTGTGCACCCGTCTCATCTTGTTCCTAAGTCTTAGCAATTTCGAGCAAATCAAAAGGTATGATACTTCATGCTCAAGTATTAGGGACTCCCAATATAAGCCGGAAGCACATTTTAGCAGCCTGGTGGTATACATTGGCAGTGTATTCAGTTTTGGGTCACTTAGTTAAACTTAGTTTAC